ATTTTGAAGTCCAGTGTACATGTTTGACTACACTCAGTTTTAGTTTCCCTTAAAATCAAGAATTCTAGCATTCCATTATTTTCCTCCAATTATGTTACTACTTGCACATCTTAAACTAAGCCTTTCCTATTGATTAGTATCAAGGATAGCTGAATTCCCTTATGTCTTCTACCACTCTCTAAAACAAAGTTTTCAGCAAGACAAATCAGGAATTTCCTGGAAGTAATATGATTGGCAGGGTTTCTCTCCCAGTAAATATTGGAGTAATTAAAGTCTCCCATCACTTCAGCTTTGCCCCTCTTTGAAAGTTCTGCAGTTTGCTTTTGGAGAATATCAGTGATATTTTCTCCTTCTTTGGGAAGACAGTGGTAGAATCAATAGCAGTATTGCTTTTATTTATTCCTCCATTTATTTTACCTTAGATGCTGTCTGCACCAATGCCAAGTTCATTCATTTGTTTTTCTAAGCAAGAATGAGCATTTTTCACATAACAATGCAACTTTTCCCGTATTAAGTTACTCTTCCTTTTGAACAAATGGCATCCTTCAATTCTATATTCCAGTCATGGGAGTAACCTACAGGTCACATGTATACCTTTTAAATAATGTTTGCCCTTCAGTGCTAAGAGATCAAGCTCTTGTTTTTCCCCTCATACTTTGAATATTAGCATACATAATGAGGGCAATGAATCTTATGAGTCAGTGTTTTATTTGATTTTTCTTTGAGTGGTTTAAGTAGCTCCATTTCATCAATACTTCTACTTACTACAGTGCACAAGTCTTTATCTGAAGTCCTTACTTCAGAATTTTTGTTTTTACCTTCCACAGAATTTTAAAACCCTCCTTATCAATCTTGCCATGCTCTGACCAAACACATTTTACCAGTCCTTGTGAAATGCAACCCATCTTGTGCCAGCAATTCATCATCTAGATACATCAGATCATGATCCCAGAAACCAAACCTCTTCTATCAACATTATGCATGTGGTGAGCCACTGGCTTGCAGTATTGTTCTTTCTCTTTTCAGTTGCCTTCCAGGGATGGGAGGGAGGGATGAAAATAGCATCCAAGTCCCAAGGTCTTGAAATTCTTTCTGAGATTTTCAAAATCTCTGGTGAGACTGTTGTAGCTATTCCTTACAGGGTTGCTGGTCTCCACATGCCTCAGAGGGAATGGATAATGCTCATGGACTTGATAACTCTTGGAAGTTATTCTGTCACGTCCTTGAGCTCTGCTTCTTGCAGAATGCACACTTCAGAAGCAGTTGAGTCCAGTCAATATATGTTTTTTTTAAGTCCTCATACTAGTGAGTGAGTCATCAACTACTATGATTTTTCTTTTTGACTTCTTATAGAGTACAGATGGATTTTCTCTGCCCTTTAGGGAGCCACTATTCTGTCTCCCATTCTACAATATCTCTTTACCTGAACACTCAGAGCACGTTTCATCTTAAAGGGCTTGAAAACTGTTTCTGAGTTCCACTGGTGCAGAATAACTTCTTGGGGGGGGGGGTTGCTTCTGGTTATTTTACTCATCCGCTGGATTGGCTTCTCTATCTGTCTGTCTGCCTTATAAAAAGTTGCCGTACAGCCTCCTTTCTTTGAAGTAATAAATCCTCATCCTTCCTCATGAACGGAAGTGTGACTTTTTCCTTCTTAGCTGTTTTGAACCTTGGGAACATATCTTGATATTTATAAAGCAAATTTCAATAGTTAGATCAAGTTGAATCCAGGATTAATATCAGCAAGTATAGAGAAAGGTGATTTTTGGTTTATTCTTGTAGCCTCCAAAAATCTGCTCTAGAATGCTTAGGAATTCCCCATGTTACAGAGGCAGTGTAGGGGACTGCAGGGGGAAATCAGTGAAAAATATTTCCCTTCCAGAATAGCCTATTCTGGAGTGTTGTCTGTTCCTGTAAATGCAATTACTTCTTCCACTGATGAAGGAGTCAGTCTGGATCCAAATCAGTTGATAAATAGCTTGCTTTATTACTTGCAGATGTGTGCATTATTTGCCTGCCTGGGGAGTATAAAGAGTTGCCAGTTAGGCACAAAAGACCACCAGCCTAACATTAAATAAAATTTAAAAAAATATCATTCCTCTTCAAAAATGGCAGCTGTGAGTTTTCAACTGTGTAAACACAGGCTCCAGTGGACATTGTCAGATATAATTACACAGAATTAATGAAGCATTACTAAGTGGCTGTCAATATTAGGATTCAGGTGTGTGCCAAATCCAATGCTCAGTCACATCTTAAGTCTGGATTCAGAATACTTTAATTAAATAGATTTTGCATACATGCTGGAAGGAGAACAAAATATGCTTTTGACTTTGAAGGAGTCATTGATCAATTTTGTGAGCAATGGTTCTCAGAAATCAGTACTAAAATAAAACCTGCAACCAGGAATCTAAAATTCCATAATGAACTCGCAAAATAAATATAGCTGTGCATCTATTTATATTTTTTTATTACTTTATCATTTTAGGGATAGGAGCTGCAAAAACAAATTCTGGAACAATGTCAAGGAATGAGGATTGAAAACCATTTGGATTACAGTCTGAGAGTAATAATGAGAAAAAGGTAAGATGTCTTGACTGACAAATGAAATATTTTCCAGAATGAGCATCAGTGATTTATTAAGAATTCTAATACTTTATGAGATACAGTTAAGTTTGAAATGTAAAAGAAAGTCAGAAAGAAAAAGAAAAGAGAGAACAAACAAATAGTTGTTTTCTGAAGAGGCTGATCTCAGTCAGCTGCTCCCTCCACTTGGGATCTCACACAAACACATACCAGAAGAAATTCACATAGCTCTGATTTCCGTCCATAAAATAAAACAGAACCTGTAGTGCAATTAGCTTTACTGATCTTAATTTGTTGTTCCAATTTATTAGATTCCAGGTCAGTTGCTGTTAGCATTGCCCTTACCCGGTTTTCAGCCAGCTTCTGAGGAGAAAAACACACCCCAAAAGAGAAAGACAAGATGGAGCCCCCTCCTCTTATAAAAGGAAACCTGAGAAAGGAAACCCACCCCTCTGATTAGCTCTTCTGTGTCTTTTTTTCCTTGCTTCCTCCACCTATTACCTGCATAGAGAGATCAGTTGATTTTCCTTTAACTCTTGCAGTGTCTCAACCTCTTAAAATGGATTTTCCCACATTCATTACAAGGGATGAGTATCTAAATGAAAAAGAGGATATTAATCCTTTTCAGTGTTTGGCATATTAATGTCTGGTGGGCAACCAGTCTTCTCAAGCTGTAGGGAGATTATAACCAATGCTTAGCTGAATATTGTTGAAATGCTGATTTACACTCCTGTTATTCTCCATGCACTTTGTGTTCAATACATAAAACAGGCTTTGGTCAGAAGCTTTTTAGCTCTTTGTAGGGCCTAAGGAGAGAGCCAGTTTGGTGTAGTGGTTAAGGCTCCAGACTAGAAACCAGGAGACCGTGAGTTCTAGTCCCACCTTAGGCACAAAGCCACCTGGGTGACCTTGGGCCAGTCACTCTCTCTCAGTCCTAGGAAGGAGGCAGTGCAAAACACTTCTGAAATCTTGCTGAGAAAACTGCAGGGACTTGTCCAGGCAGTCACCAGGAGTCAAAAACTGACTCAAAGGCACACACATACACTATGTGCTAGATGTCTTTGAGACTCAGAGTACACAAGTGGGAGACTCAAATGCCAAATGTGTTACAAGTATCAAAAAACTAATAGAAAAAAGAGTGGTGGCAATTTGCACTGTCTGTGTTCCTTTTAGTAGTGAGATGACAGGACCCAAAGGAAGGAGACCCCCAAGCTCAGTATTGCAGTACATTGGAAATGCTTCACAAGTGAAATCCATGTCATAGGGTGGCTTCTCCCACATGTGCAATATCAGTGATCTCCCAAAAGGAACAATTGTACTTAAAAAATGACCAAAGACTATAAGATATCAAAAAGCATAAAGCAGTACGGTAATGAAAGGATTAGTGGGGAATCAAGGTTCTGGTTATAAGCATGTTGTAGCAGTTTTATTACTAGCTTCTTGATACTGTTATAATTCTGTATAACCAAATGTTAGCCATTTGGTGTTTGAAGGGGAAAATGAGGTACAATAACCAGTAACAAATGTAAATACAAATACGTTAGGGAACAACTTTCACCAAATAATAAACTTCTGACTTAGCTGGGGAGAAATCAGTACGGCTTCTACAAAAGAAAGCATTTACAGTAATTGGCTTCCTTTTAGAAAACTCTGAATGTGTCCATAAGTGTAAAGTTAGCTCCAGCCTGTATGTGGCCTAGTCTCTACATGGTCCCCCCCCTTTTTTTTTTTTAGTGCCTTCAAGCCAGTTTTGATGCCTGACAACTGCTTGCAGTTTTCTTGCCAAGATTTCAGGAGTTGTTTGCCATTCCCTCCTTGGCCCAAGGTCAACCAGCTAACTTCATGCCTAAGGTGGGACTAAAATTCACTTCCAGGATCACTAGCCTATGAATTCCTAACTGAGGCTGCTCTCGAGCTTTTCAATCCTGCAGAATCTAAACCAGTGTTTTTCAAACTTGGCAACTTTAAGATGTGTGGACTCAACTCCCAGAATTCCCCAGCTGGGGAATACAGCCAGTACCGGAGGCTAGAGACAGTTTGGTGCAGTGACTAAGGCACGGGACTAGAAACTGGGAAATCGTGAATTTTAGTCCCACCTTAGGCATGAAGTCAGCTGGGGAATTCTGGGAGTTGAAGTCCACACATCTTAAAGTTGCCAAGTTTGAAAAACACTGATCTAAACTGTAATACAGAAGCCACGTCCTTCACACTGGCTCTGTTGTTGCTGGTAAGCTCGCTCACTCGGTTGCTTCCTTCCTTCCCATTCCACGCTCGGGACCAGTTTATAAGAGCTGATCCTCTCCGCCTGGAAGGAGCCTAGAGCTGATCGATGCCAGCTGTCTGATCGGCGTGCGATCGGTCGTGCCTCGGTTCAGCCGAGGGGTGGGGCAAAGGCCCGGGCACCTTTGCGCGGCAAATCCGACCGTGAAGAAGGAGCCGGCGCGTTCGGGCAGGAGGGTCGCTCCTCGAGCTTGGTTGCCGGGAGACTTTACCTGCTCTTCCCCGTCCGCCGCCTCTTTTCCTCTACGCCGGACAGTTGTCGCCAGCTTCCCGGAAGATAGGGCGCTCCGCTTTTAGCCGCCGCGGTCGGACCCCCCTTTCCTGCATTGTAGCTTAAGGAGCTGTTGCCAGCCATTTCTGCTCCTTCCGGAGCTGTTTCGAAGAGCTTCGTGATTTCTCTTGAGCGTTTCTCTCGGCCCCGGGGCTACAGTGGGTGGTTTCCCTTCTCACCTTCCCCGCACGAAGTAGCGTTCCTACCAGTCTAAACGCCGGCAGCGCTGCGCGTCTTCTTTCCTTGCCCCTAAACCTGTGCACAGATGGGACATAGCTCTCCAGGGAGAACATGGTAAGCGGGTTCACAGGGAAAGGAGCTCCCGTGATCATTTTATTTATTTATTTATCTGGGCAGTGCGCAAAAGAGAAAAATAAATAATAATAATGCAAAATCCACTCCCCCAATCAAAAACATAATGAGCAGGTAATTGAGGCTGGAGATGGAAACATGTACGTCCATCACAGAACAGGCTCATCTACCATCCCCACCCAGCACATTGGGAGAAGAGCCAGGTCTTTAGGGCTGTGTGGAAGGCTAAGAGGGTTGTGGCCATCTGAACCTGGAGGGGGAAGCTTGTTCCAAAGGGCAGATGCAACAACAGAGAAGGTGTGCCTCCTAGGTCCCATTAGGTGGCATTGTTTCAAAGAGGGAAAGCTGGAGCATGCCCATCCTGTGCCACCTCCTGGGTGGCAAAGATGACTGGGGAGAGGCAATCCTACAGGTAACTTGTTCCTCTGCCATGTAGGGCTTTAGAGATGATAACCAGCACCTTGAATTGAACCTGGAAACCTACTGGGAGCCAGTGCAGCTTATAAAGAAGTAATGATACATGGGCATAGCGAGGTGTACCCATTACTATCCATGCCGCTGCGTTTTGGACAGCTGCAGCTTCTGGATGGTGTCAGGGGCAACCCCATGTAAAGCGCATTGCAGAAATCCAACCAGCGGGGTCTAAGGTGTGAGTGACTGTGAGCTAGGCTTCCCAATTCAGAAACAGACGCAATTGATGTACAATACAAAGTTGTGCAAAGGCCCTTTGGACCGTGGCTGCCACCTGCTGCCTATTGTTCAGACTGGTATTGTTGGATGATGATGATAAATGTGTTCTAAGGTTGGGTTAAAGCCCAAGTACTTCATAAATGTATTGCCTTCATATATTTCTGAAATGGTTAATGTATTATACAGAATAAACAGATTTAATTGTTTCTGTTTGTAGAGGAGAAGTTTAGCTCCCAGCCAGCTGGCCAAGAGAAAAACTGGAGGTGATGGCTCTGGAGAAGATGAGGACTGGTATCCTGAAGCAGTAAGTATCCTTTATTTATTAATTCATTTAAATGCTGCTTGTTTTCTGTCAGGGAGTTCAAGGAGGCCTATGTGAAGTTTCCAGGGAGGCCCTGACTAGATTCAACTCTTCAGTGAATTGTCTTAAGGCAGTATCCTTTCCTTTTATTGAACTCCCTTAATGTTAATAGTCCTCCCTGTGAAATAGGTCTCCTCCATGGGTGAGTGATGCATCAGGTCTACTCATGTCTGACTATGGAGCTATCAGATATAAATTCTGATATGGGCTGATCTGTGAACAAAGAAGTTTCACAACTAGATCTTTATGGTTTTCTTTACAGTTCTTGATGAAGTTCCGTATAAGAAGCCCTTGTAGTAATAATAATCATTTGATATTGTAGTTGTTTGTTGGTATGCTGTACATATTACTAAAAAACAACAGTCGTGGGTAGATCCCCAAGCTTTATGTTCCATTACAGCCAGCCAGGCTGTTCTCCAAAACCTTGTGCAATTTGTCTGATCTATCCTAGACTCCAAAGAGGCAGAAGCATAACAGTAAGACTGATGTCCAGGAGTGTTATCTATCTCCCTTCCGAAAACCTTTGGCTCAGCTAACCAATCGAGCTCACTGCCTTGATGGCAGCAAACATGTAAGTGGCTTATTTATACTTTGTAAGATTTGGCATAATCCTCTTACTCTTATTAGATCATATCTCTTTTATTAATGGCTCTGGCAGGATAGAGGCTGCATCATAGGTGAGTTCACTTTATCTCTCCTGTATGATAGGAAGTGTAAGCTGTTCTTTAAGCTTCGTACCTTGGAATATTCTATATGTTATGAAAAAAGATTTGGGCTTGGTGGGTTTTTAAATCTTGGAACAAGGCATAAACACATATAGCATGATCTGTTCAAACTTCACACTATAATTTATAGCATATACTCTTTAATCTTAAATGTATTTACTTATACATAAATCTAGTGACATCAGTGCAATGTTCTCTAAAGGTTACTTATTGACTAGCCTAAATTATATTTTAATGAATATCTCTTTAAATCCTAGGAAGCCTTTATCCGCAGCATTTTATCAAAACCTTTCAAGGTTCCTATTCCAAATTATACAGGTAATATTTTACTTTTTCAAGCATCAAGTCTTACTATTTTTATTTATTGTAAAGATGATTTTAAAAAAAGTTTACAAAAATCACTGATGAAGAACAGTTGCTGTTTCACTGCCTTCTGAACAATATTACCTGGAGTAGGTTTCTGTTAATCCAGCGAGGTTTATTTTCAAGTATACACATATAGTATACTTTAATTGTTCTGCAACTTACATGTTCTTACTGAATACCAAATTAATAATACATTTATTAGATTTTTTTAATGAACTGCACCAACTTGAATAATGTAGATATTTAAAGGAAGGAGACATAGACAAAATGCTTGAATATTCATAGACTGAAGTAATGTGCTCTTTAAAACTTTTCTTAATGTAACTTTGTGTTAACTAAATCAAGGTAGCAGTTACTGGATATGTTTAGGTCTTTGAACTAGGTTGTCATAGTCCCCTGGGATGTTAAATACATAGTAATTTATTTATAAATCTTGCTTTGAGCCAAAAAGTATATTTTGGTGTGTTTATAACACAAACTCAAAAACTGAAAGCTATTGTCATCATAAAGCATTAGTGTTACTGGTATATTACTAATACACCTCAATATAGGAATAAATCAAGGCATTTTTGATAAGATAGTTGTTTACCAAATTTTCTGAGAGTTTATCATACAGATAAGTGGCTCTTTAGACGGGGTACTTATATTCCAATCTAACTATTTACTTAGTTGGATGTCATTGGTAAATAAAACATGACCTAGTTTAACTTCAAACATAGCCAAATTATAAATTATCAATTTTCATGCCCCTATTTGTTTTCTGAGACAGATTATGTAAGGAAAGTCCTACTTAGATTTTTCCCAGGTACATCCTGATACTCTGTATTTTGTTATGCTTTCATATTAAATTCTTTTTATAACCCTCTCCTTTTAAAAACAGAATCCAAGAATTTCATTGGTGTTTAATCTCTGGGTTTTGAATTGGTGTATTGCCAACTGTCAAGGCAGTGATCAGGTACCCAGACAATTGGTTCTTTTAGATCCAGATACAATAAACACACCAGTGAGTAAGGAGATTTCAAGCTTTATTGTTAACTCTAGCCAACAAATTTAAATAGGAATATAAAAATATAAGATACAAAATTAGCATATAGAATTAAACAGAAATACAAAAGCATAGTATAAAAGCATAACATACTGAGCAAGTTGATAACAACTTTTCCCCTACTGTTGGGAGCCACAATAAAGCGACAGTGGAGAGACCCCAAGATGGCTTAAATGACACAGCTCCTGGTACCAAAGTCTGTGTTCATGCTTCAGGACTCAAGGGGTAACTTAAGGTTTTTATCAAAGTCTGGCACTGAAACCTCATGATTCTGTTTCCATGGCACTGAGGCTGTAGGATCTGACCTTGACCAGATAGATCCCAGGGTCTGAGAATTATAACAATCCTGAGTGTTTTCTCTTCTCCCCCCTCCCCCCCACTTCTAAGTAAAAGTGAAAAACAAGCCAGCTAAACCTTATTATGACTCAGAGTGAACTTTCTTAACAAGTGCAGGAGAAATCAAAATATGTCACCTAAACTCAAAATAACAGTGGTCTTCCTCATTGCCACTACAGTTGGTTCCCAAGTTTCTTTGCAAAGCTGTTCATTTGTCTTAGGACTTTTCTGGTTCATTACAATTTTTTTGGTGTGTTTTGAATCATTAATTCACATAATAGTTCATAACAAAACATTAGCAAAACAATTGGAATTCCTAGCATTATCAGTCACCTATTATTTCATTGATATAAACAAAACTATCTGAGATATTAACCTAAAATTCACACATAATTCAAGCATTGGCCTTGTAACTAAGGACACTTTTTCCCCCTTGGATCTTCAGCAGTGATAATACATTTGTTCAGGCTAGTCAGGGACTTTGGTAGGTTAAAGAAAATGGGTAATTAATGCTAGTCACCTCGTTCAGATGAAGCGGCTATAGGTGGGACATCTGTGAGAGGAGGAATGAGGCTTTGAGTTTTTCAGGACTGCTGCTCTCTGCTTGCCTGGCCACATGAAAATGTTAATAGCCTAATAGAAAAGACGCAGCATCCTGTTCTTCCTAAAGTGTAGTTTGTTTGTTTATTCATTCAATTTTGGTGTCATCTGACTCCACATTGACTGTATAAAAAGAACAAGATAAAATACAATGGACCCTAATAACTAGATGGAAAATCTGGCCCCACAGTACCAAAATATATGTAAAACGCATGCCAAACACATCCAGTAAGGGGCTCCAATCACTATTGCCCAAGGCCTGGGAGAACAATCGGGTATTTTAGGCCTTCTAGAATGCCATCAGGTTGGGAGCCACCCAGATCTCAGGACCTTGTTCCAGAAAGCAGGCATGATGACATATTTCTCCTTGAAGATCAAGTTAACATATTGTTGCGGAAATTTCATTTTTGATTCTGTATATTGAAAATAAAATGGTTAGATTAACTGCTTTCTTTGAATGATCTTTCAGGCTCCCTGGGATTGAGAGCATTGGGCATCAAACGTGCAGGAGTTAGGCATGCTCTCCATGACCCTTTTGAAGAAGGGGCTCTGGTACTATATGAACCACCACCTTTGAGTGCTCATGATCAATTGAAAGTGGACAAGTAAGTTTTCACCATTCAAACAACCTCTTCCACAGATAGTTCTTTTCAGTCACTTTAAGTTGGTTTTCATTCAGGATTTGATTTTAGATTTAAACCCTGAACTGATGTGTAAGCTTAGTGTAAATAGTAATTTATAATGTAAGTGCTAGACTTATTCATCTCTTGTAAGACAAATTCAGGATTAGATGATTGATTCAGAGAAGCACGGATATATGCTGTAAACAGGCAGATGAAATTGTTCTTTGATCAAATACTTTGTTAGTGATCATTATTTACCAATTGTGATGCACAGTATGTTCAGTCTTTGTTTAATTTCTGGATTCTGTGTATTCTGATAATGAAATAGTTTAAGACAGCTGCTGGATATAACCAAAGTTTCTTTAAGTTTTGTATTAGCTTTGAACTGCATTGCTTCCAGTGAATTCTGGATGTCAGAATAAAACTGTGTTATACAAGTCTAGTACATTGGCCGCAGTCATCCCCACATCCCCGAGGATATTTCCCAGAAATATGCCTTTAAGTTTTATGTTTCCTTAGATCTGTACTCTGTTTGCTTCTTGAAGGGATAAAATGCCTGTTCATGTTGTGGTAGATCCTTGTCTTAGCCGTATTTTACGACCTCATCAGAGAGAGGTGAGTACAGTGGGAGCCAAGTATAGCAGTAAGTGGTATAGTTTGGTATCAAAGACACTGTAATCTCTGTAAAACCACGAATCTGAGGAACACGTGGCCTCATGTTACATAAGTAGGTTCCAGCAGCTCTGCTTGTCCTGCAAAAGCTCTTATTCGAAGAAGCATGATGATATCTATCAAAAAAAATTTCAAATATTTTCGTTTATTTTATTTTTTTAAACTTTATTTAACTGTGATACAGTGTATGCTGATATATAAATATAGAGATACTTATTTCCCTCTTTTAAAAAGTATATAAACAATACTCTGTTTATATTATTTTTATGTTTTGTTATCCTTTTATTTAAAACAAAGGTATATTTTCAAAAAAGATTATCTGTGAATAAACAGGTAATTATTGAGGTTATGCAATGATTGATATCGATTTAATATCTATCAAACTTGAAACTGCTGAGGTGGGTAGGGATTGTACCATACTTGCCTATGCCATACAAGCCTTTGGAGGGAAGTCAACATTCTGCATGACTGAAACATCATGTCAACCAGAATCAAACCTGGAGATTTCCCACACCTTTTCTGCACTAAAGCAGTAAATGAAATTAGATCTATAAGTGGTGACAGCTACAGGGCTAAATCTAGTGTATACTAGACTTTCCTGCAGAAAATAATGGCACGGCAGCTCCTCTGCAAACCATTGCCAGATAAAGTGTCGATAGCAATTTCACTATGATTTTTTCTTTCTTTAGTTTGTCATCTTGATTTATCTCTGCTCGGTATAAAGCAAAATAATTCACTGATGTTGTGGTTCACACATAATAGGCATAATTATCCACTGTTTACACAGGTGCTTCTTCTTGAAAGTTTGAGATCTTTTGAATACTGTAGTTTTGAATTCCACTAATGATATTCTGCTGGCTAAGTATGTGATTTCCACTGTGTGCAGTTGTTCACTGCTCCTGTAAATGGTTAGATATTTGGTTCTACAATTCAGTTAGATAGCTCAATATAATTTTTAATATTCTGCATATCTGTTTTAATTGAACTCAAGTGCTTTTGTACAGGGAGTGAAGTTCCTGTGGGAATGTGTTACAAGCCGTCGGATCCCCGGAAGTCATGGCTGCATCATGGCAGATGAGATGGGTCTAGGAAAGACCTTGCAGTGTATCTCTTTGATTTGGACACTTTTGCGCCAAAGTCCAGACTGTAAACCTGAAATTGACAAGGCAATTGTGGTTGCGCCTTCAAGTCTGGTGAAAAACTGGTACAATGAAGTGATTAAATGGCTTGGAGGAAGAATCCAGCCGCTGGCTATTGATGGAGGCTCTAAAGAGGACATAGATAATAAGCTAGGTATAAATGCTACAGAATATGCGGCTTTTCAAAATTATGCTGTTGGAAAGCAAGAAGAGTGCTTTAGCTGAACTGCTGAATAGTTTTAGACTAAACCAGACAGTGATAATTTTTTTTAACACTGTGCTGAGGATGATTGCTGGGGTTAAGTTAAATGGTTTGATTAGCAGCTTTTGCAGTTGTGAATTAAGGAAGCAATATAAAAGTATATTAGTTGGACGCACTCTTCAAATTGCTTAGAGAAGACCCATTGAAATAAATGAGAATTAAGTCTATTGATTTTCATGGGTTTATTCTAAGAAAGGCAAAATCTGATTCTAACTCAAAGTATGAAGAGGCAGAGATGCAGTAATAAGTGAAGTTTGGCTAGGTTGTTGGGTCAGGGCTCTGTCCTGACTTAGCAATGGACATGTTAAGTTACTTTGAATAATTGAGATGGCGTGATTGATTGAGATGCTACACAGTGCTTTTCAGGTATAAAGCAGTACAAGAGAGGGGGAATACCAAAGAGTAGATTTAAAGAAGAGCAGGGATGGGGAGTATGAAAACCTGTTATCTTTAGGGGATAAATTACTCATCTGAAGTTATTTTTAATGCCTGGATGCAAATCTGAAAATCTTAAAATGCTTTCAGTTACCTCCCTTTGTCTTTATTAAATTATCTCTGTGTCTCTAAATACACTATTTATCTTTATTCCTTTGCCATTTTTATTTTTTCTTGATAGTTGGATTCATGAACCAGCGAGGCCTTAGAATCCCATCCCCCATCCTGATAATTTCCTATGAAACATTCCGTCTCCATGCAGAAGCTCTCAAGAAAGGAAGTGTTGGGTTGGTCATATGTGATGAGGTAATTGGCTCTTTGGAATATCCATGTTTTAAAAATCTAAATATCAACGGTGAGGGAATGGGTTTTGCTGTTGCAAGTTATTATCAATGCTTTTTCTCCAGCATCACAATTCAAAGGAAGAATCCAACTTTCATAGCTGTGTGTTACAACTGGTAAAATCATGGCTGTTTTGCCTAGATCTGTCATAGTCTTCTCCCAAGTAGCAGATGTTCCTTTATTTCTTGGCTGCAATCACCATCCCTGGGAATTTTTGAGCCTAGGAAGGTAACATTTGTTACTACTTCTTCTCAACCTGTTTGCATTGGGTTCACGCTGCCTGTTGACGTAAGCTTAGAATGTGGTGTTGTGTTTTTTTAATATTGAAGTTTTTTTACTCTCTTCTTCCATCTTTAACATGCGATTCCTTGAGTCTTCCTCACTTCCAGGTGTCAAAGTGGTATCACCAGCATATCTGAGATTGTTAGTGTTTCTTCCAGCAGTTTTATTTTCAATTTCTGTTTCTTCTAGTCAACTATTTCTTATGATACATTCTGCATTTAATTTAAATAACTAAGGTGACAGGTAGAATTGGGAAGCTGTGTCAGATAACTCCCCAAGTTGATGTGCATGCAGTAAACAATATAAAACACAATGGCAGAAAAAGCTGTCACTCCAAAAATAATTTAATGATCAACTGTAGCCCCTCATATGAAGGAATTACACAAAGGGATAGACACAATTTTGCATTCATAGGGACTTGGATTTCTAAGCAAAATCCAAACTGATTATCAAATCTTCAAATCAAAGCTTTACAGAATAGTTACACCAATGGAAGACTGATCTAATCATCTAAGCCTCCTTCAGTATTTTCTCCCACTATATTTATTAGAGGAATAATGAAACTGGGCCCATTGGCAACCTTCATATATTGGTACAGGGTACGAATACAATCTTCCATAGTCCTTCTGTATCTTTTGCTGGCTTTGTCCCAGAACATGCCCTTGTTCAATGCAGCTTCATTTGTGCTTCTGTCCCTTTTTTCGTTAGCAGGAGGATGGCAGAAAGACAAAACAGTAGGCTCTGCCTAACCAGGTGAATACAATAGGCTTGGCTGGAACCTTTTTACTGAAGGAACAGAAAGAAAAGACAAGTCCAGGCAGGTGGCCCATTGTGTTGAGAATTAAATCCTGTTTGAAGAAAAGATCAATGCTGTTGACAATACTACTATATGGGGTTATTTCTTTTCTTCCTTCTAATGTAGACTTCAGAACATAATTACAGTTCTCTGCTGTAAACCGCCCAGAGTCATTTCAATGAGATGGGCAGTGACAAATGTTTCTTTCATTCATTCATTCATTCATTCATTCATTCATTCATTCATTCATTCATTCATTCATTCATTCATATATATATAATTCTCCGTTCTAGGCAAGGTAAATTTAACTATATTTGTGTTGGGTATCAAAAATGAAAGCTGAAATGAAGTAATTGTCATGCTGCTTACTCTCTTTCTTGCTTAAATATGGAATGAATCCAATCCTGTAATTTTGAAAGAAACGATATATGGCTACTAAATATATTCAGGACTAATGGACTCATTTAAACTAATAGTATCTGATCTAAACTGACCATTCTGTTTGCTGAGATGGATAGGTTCAGTGAAAATTATTATTCCATGGATTTGAATCTGGGATCATCTTCATAGGAGATGAGAAGACTATAAGTGTATATATTTTCTCATATATATGAGCTGAGCACTGGTGGCATCAAGTGGATTTAACTTATTTTAATATTGGTGATAGAGGGGTACATATCTGGACATTGAACTAGAAGCCTGTTGTAGTATCTTTTAAATCAGAACCACAATAGATTTGGTTAATTAACTCTAGCAGCAGTGTAATCAATAAATGAAGGTATATTTAATCACATAGATTACGAATCATACAGAAGTTATATAGCTTTAGAAATAAACGAATCTGCTATAATTAGGTTATATTAAATACATATCACCATACATTCTTGTATTTTTTATATGTCTCAGTATTTTAGAAAAGAATATTGGTGTTCTAAAGCAGTGTTTTTCAACCTCATCAACTTTAAGATGTGTGAACTTCAACTCCCAGAATTCCCCAGCTAGTTGCTGAGGTTGAGAAACACTGTTCTAGAGGTCTGTAGTGATTTAATTCCATCCCCTAATATCATACGATAAGTATTTTAACATCAACATTTTTTTGCTATACATTTTCTCCATTCCTTCAGAATCAACATTGGTTGTCTTGAACTATGACCACTTGTGCACCTAATATATTTCCTAACTTTTTGCATCATTAAGCTGGAATAATTTCCTTGCATAAACTGCCCTTTTAAAAAATAAACACTTATAAGATTATATTTTTCTGTCCATGCATGATTATCTTTTTCTCTTCAATATATTTTTTTTCCAGGGGCACCGGCTGAAGAACTCAGATAACCAAACGTACCAGGCTCTCAACAGTTTGAACACGCCACGTCGGGTGCTCATCTCTGGCACTCCCATTCAAAACGATCTCCTTGAATATTTCAGTCTAGTACATTTTGTCAACTCAGGCATTCTGGGTAGGGACTTCTTAACAGTGTAATCATCTAAAGCAAGGACCCTAACATGGCAATCCCAGTCTAAATTTCCTACAGTTATAGAGAAAAAAATGACAGATGGCAAGCTCATATATATATAATTTAGAGATACATACGTATGTACATTGGAGGTGAGGATTTACTTGTATGAATGGCAGATAGCCATGACCTATCTTGGTTGAATGGCAGATGGCTATGAGCTTAGGAAAGCTTCATTTGCTGGGTAGAAATCTCCATTGCATCACATGTTTTCTCTGCGCAAGAAGGGGGAGCAATTCCTCCCAGCCTTCTCCCCGGCAGAGAAAGTCATTCACTGCAGGATGAGGCAGGGAGACATCACTCCCTGCGTAGTCCTGCATGGGGCATTTTCTTTGTGTAGAAGGATGCAGTGTGTAATCTTACCTTTCCAGATCCTGCATAAAGATGGCTGATTCTCCTTTCCTTATCATAGTCCTTTTTCAATTACAAAAACACAGAGAGGTCAAAGCAAAGCTCTACCTGCACTACCTACACCGGGCTCTATCTAAGCTGATAATGGAGGGTGGGTGGAGGAGAGGAGCTTATCTGAGGGCTTGTGGGTTAATTAGCTGGCCTAGGTTGAGATTGCTTGTTGGTTCCCTGTCCCTGCATAACATACTCAGGTATATTATACTTTGAAATGTACTCTGTAAGGCACATTAGAGCTCAGTAATTATGACAATGGTGTCAACAGTGGCTTTGATGTCAAGTGTTAGGTGCTGAAGGTTCTGTTAGTTCTTCTTTTCAACTGAAGAATCACTAGTTCCAAAAAAGTTTTCCACATAATAAGAAGGGAACTGGTGGGAATAAGGTTGTTTCCAGGGCAGTGGAGGCTTAATTCCAAAATGGCACTTTCTGTTTTTGTACAGGGACAGCCCAGGAGTTTAAAAAGCACTTTGAAGTTCCCATTTTGAAAGGCAGGGATGCAGATGCAAGTGAAGCTGGAAGGCAGAAAGGAGAGGAGAGACTGAAAGAGCTGATCAGTATTGTCAACAGGTGAAGTTGAGCATCTTTTTGTGTCTGTAAGAATACTTTCTTTTTTCCTTCTTACAGTTCTTCCCTTCATTCTGTAGGTAGATGAGATGATTGTTGCCCAAGATTGTCTTCTGCTTGTTTAACTATTCCTTTTTAAACCACCATTATATAATTTCTGTATATATTTCATCTCAAAACTACAGGTACCAGTTCTAGGTTGCAGAAATACAGGCAACCACTAGATGACAGCACAGAATTAGAGCTTTCTATATCTCTCTTCTACCACCTAGTGGTCCTATTTTTGCAAGCCAGAACTGATAGTCCTACTGTTTTTTCTGTACAGGTAGTCCTTGACTTATGACCATTCATTTAGCAACCATTCGAAGTTATGACAGTGCTGAAAACAGTGTCTTGTGACCCGTCTTTGCACTTATGACCATTGCAGCATCCCCACAGTTACGTGATCCAATTTTGGGTGCTCAACGACCGGCATGTATTTACGACAGTTGCAGTGTCCTGGGGTCACATGATCGCCATCTGCAACCTTCCCAGCTGGCTTCTGACAAGCAAAGTCAATTGGGAACTGTGTGATTCACTTAACGACTGCATGTTTCACTTACCAACCATAGCAAAAAGGTCATAAAATCAGGTGTGGACACGTGATGCCTTGCTTAATGACTGCACTGCTTAACGATGAATTTTCCAGTCCCTATTGTGGTCATAGGTCGAGGACTACTTGTAATCATATCACGGCACTGGTTCTTTTGTTGTGTGGCTTTCTTTACTCTCTCTTCTGAATATTTGCTCAGTTCAGCAAGAGAGTTGATTTGTGCGAATTTAATGGTGGCCAATTAGCAGGATTCAGCCTAGAAAAGCTTTTATTCTCCTTTGGAAGTTCCATGTATCTACCCAGAAAAAGAACCCTGAAAGTATTGTTAAGTATTCTGGATTTGTAATATGAAAAGTCTTCCTATTAGCATTAGGAAGGAATATTGGTGAAATCTAGCCAGGAGGTTAGGCCATAATGTTAACAATATTAAGTTTATCTTTGTTTTTCCTTTCTAGATGTCTAATAAGGCGAACCTCAGATATTCTCTCCAAATACTTGCCAGTGAAAATTGAGCAGGTGGTGTGCTGCAGGTATAAAATTAAAGGGCAAGATATATAATAAGGAACAAGCTTCTTGCTTAATGGAAAAAGGAAATTGATTCATCATTGCACTGAGGCTTTTGAATTTAAGCTGAATTTGAAGCCCAACCATAGTACAATAATTAGAAACTTTATGATTGGTGTTATATGCTACATGTAATGCTATCTTGGCAAAAAGGTCACTTGTGCTGTTGATAAGGTCTGGTTAATCTTTCGATAATTTCTACAGAATTACCATAATGGAAGCTACTGTAATTATTGTATTTAGAATGTGTCAGTATTGAAATCTTATGGACATTTTGTTCCATATGAAGTAAACTGAGCTAGTGGGAAAAAGTCTGCAAGAGGGTGATGTAAGCAGTATGTCTTTCCCGGGGATTAAGCAGATTGACCATGAATCAGTTAAAGAACTATATGGTACTACTTCAGACATGAAACATTCATCCCACTTCCGTTCTGCCTGCTTAGAGAACAATATTTAACATTCCTGCGGTTTTCAAAGTGCAATGGCACTCTTTACAAAATGATCAGCATTAACAAATTAAAAACAACAACAAATGTTGCCTTTAATCCCCATATGCATAGTCTGTCTGCTTTATGAAGTCAGTGAATTGCATAGCTTTTAATCAGGTATCTAACTCTCTTCCTCAGCAGCAGCAGCAGCAGCAGCAGCAGCAGCCCCAGCTGGTTGTTGTTGTTGTTGCTGTTGTTCCCTGCCAATGGTATCTCAATCCTGCTGGCCATTGCCATGTGTGTATATATTTACAATAACACAGACATGCCTATGCACACATTATCATAAAGGAATCTGGCTTAAGGAATTAGCAGGGACACACGTGGATGAAACAGCAAGTTCAGCAAGTAAGCTTTCCACAATTTAAGCAGATGAATATGTTATTTATTCACCTATCAAATGTCTAGGCCACCCAACCCCAAAATGACTCTGGCAGGCTTCATAAGATTAAACGGCAATACATTATACATAAAACAATACATGATGTTATAAAAAACACAAATGGTGTATGAGAGAAACCACAAAACATATCATATCCCAACATCACCTCCAACAAAAAGAAGACCTGTCCAAGCATTCTAATCAGAGACCTGGAGAGAGAACCAGGTTTTTGGAAACTGCTTGAGGTGAGCAAGATGGAGGCCGTATGGATCTTTGGGAAGATGCTATTACAAAGGGCAGGTGACAGAGAAGGCCTGCTTTCTGGGTCCCACTAGATGGCATTGTTTAACTGATGGGACTCAAAGCAAGCCAACTGGTTGGAGCAAACAGGATGGGCTGACACTGCAGAAATAGCCATCCTTCCAGGTAGCTAGGCTGTATGTCATATAGGGCTTTATAGGTAATAACCAGCATCTTGAATTGCATCCAAAAGCCAACTAGCAACCAGTGTAGCTCCTGTTGCATTTCTTGAGTTCTGAAATACAAATATTGTTGAAGTAAGGCTCAAAAAATAACTTAGTATATAAAAATGTGATGTGGGAGGGAGGTCTCTCTCTCGGTTTAGAGACTGAAAATTCTCTACATTTACTCAGAGATGGTCATGAATGATGGGATGGGAATACGGTAACTTTATGAACAGTGAGACAAATGAGTTATACAGGGTTTGGTCTGGACTTGTTCATGCTTAACGTGATTCTGTTGAAACCAATGAGAGCCATTTCATTTGACTAACTGGTATCACTGACTTCAGTGTGTTTTCTCAAAGTCTTAATCCAACTTCCCTTAGGGTCCCCAGTGGCGTGCTTGCATAAGCACCCTTGATATCCACAGGCCTTTCTGCTTCACGTGATTTTTTAATAAGATTAATTCAGGAAGCCAGTTAAGCAGGAAACTGATATGCTGCAAAGTATCACCTACCACCACCGCTGGTTTGAAAGTGTTGCTCTGAGCTCCATAGGTGCCCCATAGAAAATAAAAATGGTGGGGGGTCGCAACCTAATTTTTTCTTTAGAGCTGTACCATGTGCCCAGAAAAAAAAGCCATTGTATGAGAATGCTCACGAGATATTCAAAATGAGTGCAATTTTGAGAATATTTGTGTTAAAAATAGAATTCATTTCACTTCATTAATTTCATTTAGACTCTAGAACTGCGCAGATACGTTTCTTGAAGGCTTATGAAATTATCTGATATCCTATCAAAGTCAATTAAGAGCTAAGCTCCTCTTTGTCCCCTACTGACTTTTTAGTATTTGGGTAGCAAATACTTTTAGTATTTAGATTTGGGTAGCAAAAAAAAGCTGATAGGCTCAGAAGAGCTGAATTAATCATGCATCATATTTCCCTTGAGTCTAAATTGTTTTATCATAGATATGACATTATATGATACGAATGGCTTCTAGAATGGTCTAGTGTTCAGTGGTCATAACATCAGTAGTTTTCTTTTGTTCTCCACTTCAGGTTGACGCCCCTTCAAGCAGAGCTATACAAATACTTTCTGATGCAAGCAAAGCCTGCAGAAGATCTGAAAGAGGGGAAGATGAGTGTTTCTTCTCTCTCTTCAATCACATCTCTGAAGAAGCTCTGTAATCGTGAGTAATCCTGACAATTAAGTGTATATTTATTCATACCATGTCCCCTTCCCATCTCATGTCCCATATTCCTGGAATATGTAGGACATTAGTAACAAGAAAAATATTTATCCTTGAAGGCTTTAGAATATGAAACTGAATAGTTTGTGCTTGCATAATGAGCAAGAATGTGTGTATTAATACAGTATCTTTAGTGCTAAGACACATTCTTCAGAGCAATGGCTATGCACAACAATTGTGCCAAACTATATTTCTTGTCTCTAAAATGTTCAAGTATCATAATTCTAGGTCTCTGATTTTCTTCTTATGTATGTGACTTTGGGTACTTAAATTTCCACTTAAATTATATTCTTGAAACCATTTTATTGGGTTCTTGGTATTTTCTGAGGTGGTTTTCCTGCAGACCAACAAAATCCCTTCAGAACATCTTAAGAAAACCTAAAGACCCAGTAACCAAAGAAGAAAAAACAGGAGTCATCTACAACATACAATACAATAGTCACTATGTAAGACAGACAGGCAGAATGCATCCGTGAACATCATCTGGCTGTCAGAAGACATAATGAAAATTCTTTAATCTTTCAACAGATAGACAAATTCAACCCCAATTTCAACTGGGAAACTCTTAACATTTTAGAGTAAATCAAATCCAAAAATGTTAGGGAATTTCTGGAAGTTTGGCATTCAGACAAATCAGCAGACACATAGATATAAACCTCATCTACATGCCCCTTAAAAGATACAACCAAAAATCAAGGAAGGAAACAAACAGCCCAGGGCATATTTATTTTATATTTATGTATTTATTTATATTTCAAATTTAGGTACCGCCCATCTCACAAAAAGTGACTCTTCCCTAGTACCCACAGAAGCAGGAAACAGCACCAGATAAACAGTCAGGGAAGAAGCAATATCCTAATCAGATAACCATCAAGGAAGAAGCCAGACTCCCATCAAGTTTGGTAGGGCAAGTTACTATATATAAACAGCCAGCATATCCCACTCTCTCTTACACTGATGATGATACCAAGTCTGGTAATGAAACATCTGCAAGAAAAGAACTATGCTCAGCGAACACCAAGAACTCAACACTTCAACTCTGAGCTGTATATATTCTCTACTACTGAAACCTGTTTAACCTTGATATAATTATTTTGGGTCTAAAATTAAATATATAGAGTATAAAACAATAAAAATGCAATTAATGAATTTAAAATATTAGCGATAGTAAGAAACGTGCTGTTCTGCAGCTCTAGTAACCTATAACATTCTAGCTGCCATTTTATGAAGCCTAACTTTCTATTTGGAAATTAATCTGCATTATGGGTAATTTTGTGTCTGATGTCATCATTACTTCACCAGCCTTCATATGTTGCATAATCTGCTTGTGCATTAAAATCTGAGTCAAATATGCTTCTTATTTTGTAATGAGGTCTGGATAGTTTGGAGTTATAGCAGAAATCAAAGAACTAGAGGTCAGGAAGGCTATCATGGATATATAACTGGTCATCCCTGTACTGTTGGGCAGTGTGGAACTGGTCACAGCACTGAATCTAGATAAATAAAAAATTACTGGTTCAACCTCAGTACCTCAAAGAGAGGTAAACCACTTTTGTATGGTTTTTGTTTAGTAGTGTATGTTAACCTACCCATTGTTAGTTGTAGCACTGACTATGTCTGTTGAGAGAAGGCATAGAATTGCATGGGGGTTTTCCATTGTTCTAAGGCTAATTGCAGTATTCTGCCTCATTAAATGGGGTGCTTGGCAGCTACCAGTTCTATGCAGTGACTCTTGAATTCTTCTGCAGACCCTGCCTTGATTTACGAAAAGTGTGTAGAAGAGGAAGAAGGGTTTGTGGGGGCCCTACAGTTGTTTCCATCTGGCTACAGTATTAAGTCTTTAGAACCTCAGCTCTCAGGTAAATATCACTGTAAGATCAATCTGTACTGGTTTGCACAGGGAAATGATTTCTCAGCCCTATGGAAAATATATATATACTCATTTTGTTTCCTTCCAGGAAAGATGCTGGTTTTGGACTACATTCTGGCAGTTACTAGGAGCACCAGTAATGATAAAGTAGTCCTGGTATCCAATTACACACAGACACTTGACCTTTTTGAGAAACTCTGCAGAAGTAGGAGGTATAATGACTGAGGCTTATTTATATATGGGCGAATGAAATGAAGGGGAGTTCTGCAAAATTATCCTGCATAGATAGACAATCTTTTTCCTTATACAGGGGATAAAGTCATTATTACTTAAAAGATATTTGTATTAAGCTTCATGTTCTGTTTTTGTATCAGGTATTTGTATGTCCGTCTGGATGGTACCATGTCCATTAAAAAGAGAGCAAAGATAGTGGAGCGTTTCAACAATCTTTCTGTAAGTGAAGTTTCTAATCTCAGGTTCTATCCTGGAGATTTTCAGTTAATGACAGTTTTAGCTGAAAGTGCTGTTCTTCAGTTTGGCACAGGAATGTGGGTACAAAACAGTATTATGTTAAGAGGAGGTTTATTTCAATGTGCTTTGTAAAAATCATTCATAAACCTTGCATGAAACGGTTTGCTTTAGTTATTACAGTCAAAACTGTAATAACAGAGATCCTGTTGATAAAGTTGGACTTTAGGAATTAGATGGGATTGTTGCTATTGTACTGGCCTCCCTGCAGTGTAGTGACTTTACTAAACAACCTGCTTGATGCTATGGCTGGATTGTCAGGCTTGTTCCCCAGACAAATATTTCTAAGAGACTTTAATCTGCCTTCCTTGGATGTGGGGTCAGAGATGGCTCAGGACTTCATGGCAGCCATAGACCTGATGCAGATCATTGAGGGCCTGACTCATAGTGGTAGTCACACAATAGACCTCCTTTTTATCTTGGGGCCATATGATCTGAAGTTGGGGGATGTTATCAGTTCCTTGTTGTAGTTGGCCTTGGAGTTCTCTGCAGCCACTCCCCACCACAGGGAGGAAGGACCTATTTGATCAGTCTACCCAGGTGCTTGTTGGGTTTCAGAGGGAACCTGGGGTTCCTGAGGCTCTGATGCATGGTTTGGCTGAGGCCTTAATTGCTACTTGGAATGAGGTGATGGCAATGGCCTTGGATCAGATTAAGATTGTGTGGACTTTCTCTGCTTGTGGATCCTGGAGAGTCCCCTGATTTTCAGAGGAATCGTGGAGGTGAAGCAGAAGAGATGCCTAGAGCACTGCTGGCAGAAAACAAAGAGTGAATCTGATTGAGCATGGGTAAGAGCCTTTCTTAAGGATTACCTCATGGTGATAAGAGAGGCAAAACATAATTGTTTTCCAGTTTTATCATATCCATGCATAGCTGGCTAACAGCCCTGTTCATGGTGACTCAGTCCCTTCTGGATAGGGAGGGGCTGGAAGAACATCTGCAGGGCCACAATGAATACTGTTCAAGAAACCTATTGGATGAAATCACTTGGATCTGGTTTGAGCTGGACTCTGGCTATGAAGGTCTTTTAGAAGTGACTGAGTCATAATCTAGCATGTTTATCATTACACCACATTACACTACATTACACCCATGTAACAACACTATTTTGTGAGCTGCATTGGCTCCCAGTAGGCTCCCAGGTGCAATTCAAGGTTCTCGTTACTACCTATAAAGCCTTTTGTGGCTGGATTACTTGTGGGACTGTCCATCTCCAATTGTTTCTGTCCATCTCACAAGATCCAACAGAGTGGGCATGTTTCAGATCCCTTCTGTGAAACAATGCCCAGGAGGCATGCTTTCTTTGTCATGGTACTTGCCTTTTGGAACAGCATAACCATTGAAATGTGGGTGGTGCGGACCTTTTGGCTTTCCATAAGGCTCTAAATACCTGTTGAGTGTTGGGCTAGGACATTGCATTAGCCATCTTGTAATACTTTGGGGAATGTGGACATAATTGTGGTTTGGCTTTGGTAGTATTATATTGTGCTTTTGTGGCATTTATTTACTTATTTACTAGATTTATATTCCACCTTTATTTTGGACCATTGTTTATTGTATTTTGTGTTTTTAATTCTGTATTAGCTGCCCAGAGTCACAGTTCACGAGTCAAGTGGTCATATACATTGCATGAATGAATGAATGAATGAATGAATCAATGAATGAATCAATGAATCAATGAATCAATGAATCAATCTGCAAGGTCTGAAGCATTCATTTTGTCCCTTAATGCCCTCA